TCACTTTACTGTAAGGAAGATACTAACTTCAAGCCCATGGCTGAACCCTTTTAGGGCGTAATGGTTACAAAAAAAACTTGAATGAAAGCGGAACACAATGTGCGGCTCACCAAGGCTCGCGGCGAAATCTATGTATAGGGTGGGGTACAGGGTGGGGGGTGGGGGTGGGCGCAGTAACAAAAGAACCACTCATCCTGTTTCAAAACGGAAAAACTGCACTTTGCCAGATTCGAACTTGATGCATCCTTCGGAGTACTAAAGTGCGGGTTTCATTCAATCAGAAAACTTCATAACTAGCCTGCAGGTGACTCGTAAAACTTACAGAGTAAAAGGCAACAGCACTTTTTTTTTAGCTTCTTTTCACTTACAAGATGTTCCTACTCTCTCCTGAGCCCAGTCCTAGAGAATGCCCTCGCATTCTGCATTAGCACCCAGAAAGACTAGGCAGCGTTCAGAGTTGGTGACCGTACACGCGATTAGACGATGATTTAAATAGAAATGTGTATAGATTAGGCGATTAGGCGAGTAGGCGATAAGAGAAGGAGCGCGTACTGATTTGTTGCTCCGCCCATTGAGCGATCGCCTACGCCTACTCACGTAGTCGCCAGCTCGCCTACTCGCCTGATTGCCTGACCGATGCGTACCATTTCCCTACAGACTAGTCGCCATTGTCTGATCGCATGTACGACCGCCTACTTTGAACGATGCCCCAGATGTTACAAACTTAGGCAAAAAACAGCGGAACGCGTAAGGATGAAACTGCTGACATTGTGTACACACGTCTAAACGCCTTCTAAGCTTTAACCAGTTACTAGCAAGTCTGTAACCACGAACTTCACCAGAATGCTTACGTTTAATTAATAATGCCCCCGTATATTGCGATAGCACCCCAACTATTTTTCACGATACATATACGACTCCTCTGCTAGTGACCCATACATCTCTGCTCTAGCTGTGCGAGAACGAAGGCTTCGCAAGGTGAAAAGGTATGACAGGAATTCAAATATGAACAATTACATCGATTGAAATATGAAACAGCGCTGACGTAGCGTACAGGAGCAACCAGAACAAAGCAACGTCAGCGATCGAAAAAGCCATTCAGAATAAAAAAGAACCGAGAGCGTGTTTGAAACCTGACACCTAGGACGAACCTTGAATACGATGAGGGCCTGGATCACCCCCGCTAAGCACTGGACTCTCCACTGGTTCCACCGCATAGACCTAAATGAGTACTGAACGAAATCGCAGAAACAGCCACGTCAAACTTTATACCTTCACACTGGGATTTTGCTCTCTGAGGTACTGCCCAACTCCCGTGATGGTTCCTCCGGTTCCAATACCGAAAACGCATGCATCCACCTGATTGAGGCAAACATCTGTGACAGAATCTAGGAAATGAATAGCATATTTGAACAAACCTTTCCACGTGTTTGCCTCCAAATTTCAGCACCTGTCGTCAGGTAATGAACTTGAGGATTGGACGGATTGTCGAACTACGAATAGCATGCAGCATAGCCACTCATATAGCAAATTTTCCAAAGACTGAACACCGAATAATTCAAATTCAATAATAGCAACCTGTGCAAGAATGAAGCTATTAGGGATATTCTCATGCAGCTCATTAGCACGCTGGATAGCTCCTTTCATTCCAAAGATTGGATCCGTGAGAACAAGCTCAGCACCATAAGCTTTCAAAAGAGTACGCTGAAAATGAGAGTAATTATGACAGAAGTCGTGATTGCGGTACTACGGAGGTCCCTCACATAGAGGCAGCTCAAGAAAAAGAAAAGATTATAGTGCATGAGGAGTCTCAGCTATCCTCAATTATCGAGGAAACCAATCCGAATCGAAAAAGGTATACAGACAACCACCAAAGAATAAACTGCTCTGACCAGGTGTACTCCCACTAAAACCGCTTCTTTGTCTCAAGCGACTACGAAAACGGAGCAGAAACTGATGCTATATTATCTGGCGTACGCTTAGATGTTGAATTGTAGTCTGTAGTAAATAATGAGGAAAAAAACAGATACAAACCCTCTCAATACTCATGCTTGCCGGCATCGTGATGATGAGGCGATAGTTCCTAGCGGCGGCTACCATGGCCAATGCGATACCTGTATTACCGGACGTCGGTTCTATAAGAGTAGTGAGGCCAGGGCGAATCTGTAACGACAACGTTACGTTACCTACTAATAAGTTACTCTGCAATTTCATTGGGATCTAAATCTCCTGGTGAACTCGAAAGACATGGCTTTTCGATGGAATTACGACGCTTTATCTCTGCCAACAAGAACAGAGCTGGAACTTTTTGTTAGTGCCCAACTTTGCCTGCGGGAGCTACCATTACTCATGACCATTTCTAAGAAAACGAAGGGACATACACTCCCCTTCAAAAAGCCAGAAAGTGTGCGGGTGCAGACCAAACACCACAAGTGACGACGGCCTCCAAGTAAATCTGGTTAGTAGTGGTTCATAGTGATAGCTGATTTTTGGTAAATGATAGTTGTAATTAGTGACAACTGATAGAATACAACTGCAACAGGCTAATCATTTCATTGGCAGAAAACATTTACATTTTGTGGAGGCCGTCGTCACTTGTGGTGTATGGTCTGCACCCGACACTTTCTCGCTTTTTGAAGGGGAGGGTAAGAGTTACTCATAAGTGATAGCATCGCCGCGCACCTATTTCTGTCAACTGTCTTTGCCGGCTGCAATCTGATCGAAACGCTAGACAGTTCAAGGTTCAACCTAATAACTCACTGCCAAATGTACCGAAATTAGCTCTAGGTGTAGTACAGTTACCAGGTAAAAGGATGTTCGTGACATATCGTGCGCGTATAATTACTGTGATACTTGGCTCAACATGCGGGTCGCATCCTCTCATCTTTTTCTTTACCAATTATCATAATGATATTTCTTGTTCCTCCAGGCGGAAGATGCGCTGACAGATTTGAATGCCAAATAAATCAAATCAAACGACTCTTTCCGAGCGTACACCACATGGTCGGCAACGTGTTAATGAGAAAGTAAACAAAAACGGAACCTTGCCAGCCTCCTCGGCGCATTGAATCATTGACAATCCAATTCGATCTTTCACCGAACACGCCGGATTCAAATACTCAAGTTTTGCCGCTGAATATTCGCACGAATCAGTGATATACACCCTTCGAATAGCAAAAGATCACTCACCGATTATTCCGTGCATTCCTCGACCAACTTTTCTCAAGTAGACCATTGGAGTATTACCGATAAGTTCTGTGACATCTTTAGCAATACCTTCCCTGGAGGCCATTCTGAAGAATGCACGATTTAAAGATGAAAAAATGCTCCTAGTGAATCGCGAGATACTCTGAAATCCCATAGAAATCTAGAGTAGTGGGGAGGAGGGAAGGTATTCTAGATTGGTGTCCGAGTCCGCGATCCGCGCAGGTTTCGCGCAAAAATTGCAAGTGCCCCATTTGAACATTTGAAACACTGAATATGAAACAAGTAGAATCATGAACAGTCGTCATTCAGCCATCACCATCAAGCAGAAATGGCGGCGGGATTGGAGAGCACCTTGCAGTATTGATCGGGCACTTGTGATTTCTGTGACCCGTCGCGCGAATCGCGCGAAACCTGCGACGGATCGCGGACTCTGACACCAGCCCAAGAGCGCGCGTTCCAAGACATTAGGAACCACGGCGAACATTTTCATTTTGTTCAACTTCATTCTCATTCGATCCCCTTCCAGCATAAAAATCAGGCTTACTCTACAAAAACTGTGTGGTCGGGACAAAATGTTGCGCCGCAATGTCTCCACCTCCCAACACTGCGCCCGTAGACAAGCCCGCTCATGTTTCTGATCAAAGACGCACGCTGCTCTATAGGTCCACCTTTCTTGCATGACCATGGTTTTCTAACGACCTAATCATACTAAATAAAAAGTGTTAGGTGCTATACAAGTAGGGTGGGCACGCCGCATTTTTTGAACAGAAATGTATGTAAGTGGGACTGCTGCCCGCTACTATACTGTCACGAGAATCGGGGAATTCGTGAGCCAGGGGGAGTGTAGCCAATCTAGGGGGTGGGGGTGAGGGCAGTCACTTGACATGCGTGAAAAGCTGGGCGTGCCCACCCACTTGTATAGAGCCAAGTGTTATAACAAAAACAACAGCTAAACAATCTCGGTTGAACAACAATGAACTTTGCCAGGTGGACTTGTCTCGGGCGAACATATTCATGGGATTTTAGAGCAAACAGACGTTATATACGTTGCCATTGTGAATGAACAAAACGAACATGAGGAACCGGAACACTTCAAACCAAAGGAAAACACAAATGCATTGAAGACGCCAACGTGACCGACGAAAAGAAGTGTCCAAGGGTTTGAGAGCGATAGGCGGCATCACTTGCCACGATAACAGTTCATGTTCGCTAGTTCGCGCCCGACGAAACATTTGCGCTCCAAGGTTAACTCTAACCGGCATAAATTTAATCCGATTAGTTTGGAAGCATTCAAATGCATTAGATGATGTGAATTGAATTCCTCCTAAAAAGCAGATAGCTCTAGCAGAGTACTAGAGTTGGGCGAATAGCTTTTTTGTGGCTATACGGCAAGTTTTTGAAATTCCCTTCAAAAATATAACGAGGTTCATGAGGTCTGAGTTTAATACCGAAGTTCGAAAGATCGAGTGACTATGGCGTTTCTGCCTTGAACGCTGCTGCGTCGTTTTGTAGAACCTGTTTGCGTTCACATCAGCAATTACTTCAGCCCTACTCGATGCTTTTTTACCGCCCCATAGATATATGTTATACTGCGAACAGGTTTACTCGATTCATGCTGAACGGTTTTCCTCCGGCTAATGTTTCATGCTATTTGGTGTGATACAGAACCGATTTGCAACATGATAAGGAACATTGGTAGTGACATCATCGGTTTCGTTGGTGTATGGAGATCCAGTAGGGTTGTAGGGTTGTTTTCTGTACGCAGTTGTATCCCGTTTTTCTTTGCCACCTCTCCTCTCCTTTACGTAAGCCCCATCATTTGCGTGAGTTCAAACCCACCAATGGCCATTAGTGAGATTTCGAAGTCCGATGAGTGACCGCAACCGTAACACGTGACTGGTTGGCGCGCGATGCCACGTGTCATCGATTTGTTTCGACGTGCCCTTTTGTCGTTTTTCCGCGCACTCTACGGCGACAAAATGGACGGTATAGAACCTGTCAATGTACGGAGCGTCTGGGCTGTATACATGTGGAGTGTAGCAGGCAGTCGAACGTGCCGGCGAGGGGTCCGGCAGCACCCTGGGGTTTGCCTCCCTCGCCCTCGCTCAGTCCATCGCTCGCCGCGGAAGCGGCGACGCTGCGTGTACCCCTGGATGTGGTTGCCCAAGGGCGGTTGTGGTAGATGGTGTTTTGTGCTTGCGAGGCATTATACCCGCTCACGTTGGAACGCGTTGGAACGTGCGGGTACACAGCGGTAGTGTAGTTGTGCGCTCCAGTGCCAACGTGGATTACGGTAGCGGTCACTCATCGGACTCCTAAAACCGGCTTGTCCAGTGGCCGAGGTCAGACTTTGCGACCGGAGCGATTTTTC